TTCCTTTCCTTTCCTTTCCTTTCCTTTCCTTTCCTTTCCTTTCCTTTTCCTTTTCCTTTTCCTTTTCCTTTTCCTTTTCCTTTTCCTTTTCCTTTCCTTTTATTAGTTACATTTTATTAACTCTGTAGCCCAACTGTATCCCGCTCCCTCATTCCCTCCCTCATCCCCTTCCTGCCCCTTTCCAACTCCACTGATTGGGGAGAACCTCCTCCCCTTTCATCTGACTCTGTTTTATCAGGTATCTTCAGGATCTGTACATTTTTTAAAGACCTTGATTATTCATATAACTACTGGAAGATAATGAATTTTGCTAAGATTCGAGGTCTGTCAGAAACTGGATTAGTGTTGCCAGAAGTCTGTGTACCACATATGCCCCCGGGGCCTACAGAGTCAGAAGATGATGTCAGATCACTTGGAACTGGAGTTATGAACGTTTATAAACTACCGGTTGAATGCTTAGACTCAAACATGGATCCTCTTGCATGAACAAGTGCTTTTAACTTCTGAACCATCTCTCCAGCTGCAGAAGTTTATTAATAAAACCAAATATAATTAAATGTATTTTTAAACAATTTTTTTATGCTGTGATTACATGCACACATATGTATACCACAGTTTGCACATGCAGTTCAGAGTAAACTTGCAGAGTCAGTTGTCTTCTAATGCCATATGAGTTAGTGTACTAGATCTCAGGCTGTTGCGATTAAGAGCAAGTGCTTTTACCCACACAGCCATAACACCAGTGACTCACTGGTTAAATTATTCTAATCAGATACTCATTAACATTCAAGAGTCATATGGAATTTTTGCAGAGCTGCAATAAAATGCCTGAATACAGCTATCCACAAAGAGTTTACTGCTTTCGTTAAAACACAAAAAATGGGGCAGTTCTGTGTCTTTGGGCCGCTGGTAAGAATAACAGATTCTGGTAGATTGTCCTTAGAGTGTATGTAGGTGCAAACACTTACATCCTTTATGGGGGAAGCTTACAAGATGGTTGGGGCCTGGTTTCCTAGCTTACAAGATGGTTGGGGCCTGGTTTCCTCCTTTCATACAAAGCTTTTTATAAGAACAAGTAAGAGAATCCCCAAAGGTGTACATATTAATTACCATGAGACAGATTTCATGCGTCCAGTATAAGAACCATTCACTAGGCTTCACCTACCAATATTCATTCCCTGTGTACCAAGCTTTTAATTACAGTAGACATTTGGCTATGTTCAGAACATGCCTAAATTGACACAAACATTCGGTATAGTCTGAATAATTTCGTATTTTGATGCATATTTGGGATAGTAATTATTCATACAAACACTGCATGTTCTACAGATTTTTGATGGTATCTGTGATAGTAGGGTAGCAGTTTTCTTTGCTGAACACCTTTGGAGAGTCACTCATACTCATATCTGCTTTCTCATTTCTAACTGTAAATATTTACATTCTCAACTGCTTTTGAATTTTTTTTAAGATATAAAGTATCATTTGTATTTTAATTAAACACTCATGTTATATATGTTATATAGTTAGCAAAATATTTCACCGTTGATTTTGTTCCAACTGTTTATTGTGTTTCAGTGTACTTGTCGGAATGACATGGTGAAGATATCAATGGATATATTTGTGAAGAAATTTCAGCCAGACAGATACCAGATTTGGAAACAAGGAAAGGATATATATACTATTGATCATACAAAGCCCACTCCAGAATCTACCCCAGAAGTAAAAATGTGGCTGCAGAGGAGGAGAAAATTAAGAAATGCTTCAAGGAGGCAAGTACCCCATCACATGGATCATGGAACCAAATGTTTTCAGGGATTATTTATTTATTTTTATTTTTGTTATTCATATCTTTATAATAGTTTATTACTGAAAATTTGAGGTAATGTATGTTAAGCTTTTGAGTTGATATAGTAGAATTTAGGAATATGTAGTCATATATATATAGAGTATTCATGAAATTGATGTATATAGAACATAGAACATTTTGGAAGTCTTCCATTAATTTATCTTAATCATGTATTTGTTCTTTACATTATTCACCATATTTCAAACAACTTCAATAATTAGATTTTCAACTCCTACGTGCTACAATTTTAAAAAATTTTAAGAATGATTTTTCTTAATTTGTTAAGTAGCTGAGATAATTATTTTTTTCTCATCTGATGCTTATGGTATGGCATTTAAATTTTTTTGGTTTTACTCTTTTCTCAAAGGAGAAAGTATTATTTCTGTACCATGGTAGTCTTTTAAAACTTTACCTTTAATCCATTTTTGTGACTAGGACTTTGTCAAAAGCTTTGTACTTTCTCTGGACATTTCTTTCTTTAAAATTTTTTGAATAGGCTGTGGCTTGGGTCCTTAGGCTGGAATGTTAATTTTCAAAGTTTTGAATTTTTTATTTAGCTTTTGCTTTTACTATTGCTTTTTATTCTTTTAATTTATAAAAGTAATATTTGAGAACTGTGGAAATTTTCCAAATCCATAAAAAAAATCCAATGAATCCAAATCACCCCTAATCTCACTATCCAAAGACCACCCATCTTATAACTTTACATGTATTTTTACATATGTATTTATTATATATTGTATAAAATATTATATACCTTTTTCATAATGAAACTGTTATACTAACAATTGAGTGACCACATATATGAGTACTTTTTATATAATTAAATTATTTTTATAGCATAATTTTTAATACCTATATGTATTTGGTCCCCTACTTTTAGACCTTCACCACCTCTGTTTTTACTGTAATAATACTATAATTTTAGGTTTTGTTCAAAATTTTATTGCTTATTTTCTGCTCCCCACTACTTGAATTTTTGTTGTTGTTATTTAAAATGGTTGTGAGCAGGAGAAACTTCAGACCATGACTTGCACATATTTTTCTTTTGTTTTTCTGGTTCTTTCTTTCTCTCTCTCTTTTTCCTCTTTCTCTCTCTCTTTTTTCTCTTTCTTTCTGTCTTTTTCTTTCTCTTTTTCTCTTTTTTCTCTCTCTTTCTTTCTCTCTCTCTTTCTCTTTCTTTCTTTCTTTCTCTCTCTCTTTCTCTTTCTTTCTCTCTCTCTCTCTCTTCTTTCTCTCTTTCGTTCTTTTTGTTCTTTTCCCAAAGATCAGGTTTCAACTATGCTATAGTGAGCCTAGAACTCATTATATAGACCAGATTGACCTGCAACTCAGAAAGATCTTCTAACTTCTGCTTTCCCATTGCTGGGATTTCGTAGGTGCTATTTTTAAACTATTTTATTTGGTGTTCCTTAATGCTTTACCTCACTTTCTTTTTTTTAATTTTTATTTTTTATATTAATTACAATTTATTCACTTTGTATCCCAGGTGTAGCCCCCTCCCTCCTCCCTTCCCAACCCCACCCTTCCCCCTGCATCTCCTCCTATGCTCCTCTCCAAGCCCATGGATAGGGGAGGTCCTCCTTCCCTTTCATCTGACCCTAGCTTATCCTATCTCACCGGAACTGGTTGCATTGTCCTCTTCACAAAAATAAAGTCCAAGTGGATCAAAGACCTCAACATAAAAGCAGACACACTAAATCAGTTAGAAGAAAAAGTGGAGAAGAGACTAGAACTCATTGGTACAGAAGACAACTTCCTGAGCAGAACACCAACAGCACAGGTCCTAAGATCAACAATTGATAAATGGGACCTTATGAAACTGAAAAGCTTCTGTAAGGCAAAGGACACTGTTATCAGAACAAAACGACAGCCTGCAGACTGGGAAAGGATCTTCACCAGCCCTGTATCTGACAGAGGGCTAATATCCAGAATAAAGAATTCAAGAAGTTAAAAAGCAACAAATCAAGTAATCCAATTAAAAATGGGGTACAGAGCTAAACAGAGAATTCTCTGTAGAGGAATATCGAATGGCAGGGAAACACTTAAAGAAATGTTCAACATCCTTAGTCATCAGGGAGATGCAAACTAAAATGACCCTGAGATTTCACCTTATACCTATCAGAATGGCTAAGATCAAAAAATCAAGTAACAACATGTGCTTGATGTGGAGATGTGGATGTGGAGAAAGGGGAACCCTCATCCATTGCTGGTGGGAATATAAACTTGTACAAACACTTTGGAAATAAATTTGGCGCTTTCTCAGACAATTAGGACTAGAGCTTCCTCAAGATCCAGCTATACCACTCCTAGGCATATATCCAAAATATGCTCAGGTACACAACAAGGCCATTTGTTCAACTATGTTCGTAGCACCTTACCTCCCTTTCACCAACTCCCCTTAACCCTAGATAGAAGGTTAGAAGGGAAAGGGGACATAGACTTCTTTAGACTTAGTTCTAGCACGTTAAGGTTTTTGGGTTCTTTGGGAAAATACCAATCTCAGTTTCCAGGATATCTAGCAGTCCAGCAACAGCAAATGGCAAATGCAGTGGATGAATAAGCAGCCTTTTTTCTCCTCCCTTTGTCTTCTTGAAACCCTCTAGAGCTTCTCAAGGTCTCATTCTGTGCTCTGGTATTTGTACTCTTTCCAGAGTCCTCAGAATTCCATTAACTCCAGCTGGTAAAGACCACGCTCTGCAAAAGGCAATTATCAGCTGTGGAAAAACTTGGGCAGTGCCATATCCCACACTTGAGATTAAAACAAAAATATTTACATAACTGAACTTTTAACGAAACCAAAAATTTCACCACAGAATTTTATACCTGGAAAACATCTGCCTTTTTAAAGATAGATAGGTAGTGTAGGTTGGTAGGTAGAAACATACATACATACATACATACATACATGTATATATATATATACATACATATATAAACATGCATGAGAAAACTAGTCAGTAGCTAACCTGAGGATGATAGTATTTCAGCTGTAGTTTACAGCAAAGATTTCAAAATATTGTTTGATAATGAATTTAATAGATCATGGGTAGTATTTTAACATTTGAATGTGAAATGAATTTAAAAGTAACATGGAGGAGCAGGAGAGACATCTTAAGACCACCAACTGGTCTTTTAGATGATTCAAGTTCCTAACACTCATAGACAGCTAATAATCACCTATAATTTCTATTCCACAGGATCTGATACCCTATTCTGACTTTTATAGTCATTTCATGCACTTAGTCCACACGTATACATGCAAGTTTAATAACAATACACATAAATAAAAACTTCTTTCTTTTCCAAAGTACAGTAGTGTTTAATGTGTGGAAAATGTTTATTCATGCTCTGTGTATTTGTGTATATGTAAGTGTTGTATCAATAAAATGCATAACTTACTGTAAATACATTCAGAATTTGAGGAACAGTAATTAGGGAGTCAATACCTATGGAGTTATTCGGGAAACACATCAGACTCAAATCCTGAGAAACGCAAAGCAGCACTGTAGTTAGGTACCTGAGCGGATACTCAGACTGCTGGTTTTCAACCAGAGTACCTGTCTCATTTTTCACATGTCCTAATATTTAGGATTTTTTTTTTTTAAATCAGTGGCTTAAAGTGGTTGTTGATGACGCTTTGTTAATATAATCTTTAAGCATGTGTGACAAGTGTAAAAACTCCTTACAACCTGAGGTATGCCGGCTGCCTTGCTTTACATGTAGACATTGTGAAATGCAGATATTGCCTGTATTCTCACTGTTATTATCGGCACTGGCAGCACCTAATTGCTGGTATGTGTATATTCTTATTTACTCTGCTTAGCTCATGTTTCTGCTTACTTGACTTTATATTGTTATTTTATCATGTATTTATAATGTAAAAATTCAATTATTATTAGATTGATTTAAAACCAATTTAAAACCGTTATTGGTGATGTCAACTTCAGGCTTTAATTGTAAAAATTAAATAACTAAATTTTTCTTGATATAAGCGCATAATATTTGCATTTGTGTGTATTATCTATTCTGAACTTTTTGCTATGACTACTTCCTTTTGTTAATAGCTTCCAGGGTAATAGATCACTTTCTAAAAGACCTAAAACCGAGGAGGATGAAGAATCTGCTGAATTTTATGGGGAGGAGGTCTCAAATCCGGTCATGTGTCCAGGGCAACTCAAGGTCACTGAAAAGTCAGAAAAAGCATACAAGCTTGGGAATACAGAAGCATCTGAAGGAGAAGCTTCTGATACCAAGAAACAAACAGATCAACACTTAAATGACACCAAACTGTCAGGTAAGAAAAGAGCTGATTAAGTTTCACATGTGGCTAGGGTGGTCAATAATTTGATGTCTTAAAATTGTCCACTAAAATATATCTTACTAGACCACCCAGCTTTTTCAATAACTATATAAACTTAAAGGATAGTTCAGCTATGAAGAAAAGTGAACATTATACCAATAACGGATATGGCTTTTATGTGTAATAAAATTCTAAAATAAATATCTAGTAATACACATGTGGTTTAATAAAAAATGAAAAAATTGAAAATTCAGAAGTTTTTAGTTAAATTCAACTTAAAATTTACAAGAAGTAAACAAATTATAGACAATTTTGTTTAGATTCCTTGCTTCAGAATTAATTTAAGAACAAAATTAGAGGGTGTGGCTCAGTGGTTAAGAGCATTGTCTCCTCTTCCAGAGGTCCTGAGTTCAATTCCCAGCAACCACATGGTGGCTCACAACCATATATAGTGGAATCAGATACCCTCTTATGGCACGCGGGTGTACATTTGGATAGAGCACTCATCTTCGTAATAGATAGATAGATAGATAGATAGATAGATAGATAGATAGATAGATAGATCTTTAAAAAAAAAGAACAAAATTAGATATAACTTTAAAAGGACAAAAATATAAAATCAGCTTAGTGTGTAACATCATTGGGTTTATATTAATGAACTTTTAAGTCTCATCTAAAAGACATACATACAGGCAGAGCACTTATACACATTAAATAAATAAATAAATCTAAAAATAAATAAAGGGCAGTGTAGAGGAATATCAATTCAGCATATGGCTTTTATGGCAAGAGATCACATCCAAAGACATTTGATCAGAATGAAGTGTCCCTCTCCCTCTCTTTTGATTAATTTTGATTGAAAGTCTATCTTATTATATATTAGGATAGCTACTCCAGCTTACGTCTTGTGTCTGTTTGCTTGGAAAACCTTTTTCTAGCCCTTTTCTCTGAGGTAGTGTGTATCTTTGTTGCAGAGGTGTGTTTCTTAAATGCAGCAGAATGTTGGATCCTGCTTCCATAACCAGTCTTTCAGTCTGTTAGAGGTGACGATTTTATTGGGACAGTAATAGAGAGACAGGTTTCAGAGAGAGAACTCTGGTGAAGACTGAATGAGCCAGAGAATGAGAAGTAACCAGGAGATTAGAACAGATTGCTTGAGTTAGTTTGAGGCCAAACAGAGCAATTCAGAGACTGAGAGAAAAGAATTAGTCAGCTGGGAGAGGAGTTTGAGCTGGAACAGCTGAGTGAACTAGCCAGCTATAAGTTCAGAAAGAACAAGAAATGAAGTTACTAAGCAGTAATATTCAGAGGCTGAAACATTCTAGGCTTAGGTTAGATTGTACAGAGGCTAGAAGCTTCCAGGAAAAGGCCTAGTTTAGCAAATGGAGGCAGTAATCCTCCTAGACAACAACTGAAGATGACAAATAAAAGTTCTTTTATAGGCTTGAGTGATGGATCAATGGTAAAGAGTGTAAGACATAAATCAGTGGAGGAAAATGAAAGAATAGACCCAGCTGGACCTCAGAATGGTGAGAACAGATTTCTACTGGCCTGAGAAGTTATCTTCAAACACTGCTCAGGATCTGAGGGAATAGGGGCCATCCGAGCAGGGCCTGCAAATCAGCTTTGCAGTAGAGAGCAAGAAGGATGGAGGACCTGCTTATGGAGACTGAGAGATAAGCCAGATTGCCTGTTTTTTGGACTTCTCCTCCAGGCCAGGTGATAGGGGTTGACTGATCCCCAAAATATTTTGGGCAACAGGTTTCTTGGAAACCTGAGCTTGTTTTATGACCCTAATTTGGGGTGGTGGATTTTTATTAAAGAGTGTTTGCTACTTTTTTTTTTTTTCCTACAGTAAAATGAATTTTCTATTTGTCTTTTAAAAGATTTATTTTTACTTCCTGGTATTTTGCCTGTATGCACATCTTTGTGATCCACAGGTACTGTAGCTATAGACAGTTGCAAGCCACTGTGTTGCAAAGTTGAACCTAGATCCTTTGGAAGAATAGCTTGGGCTCTCTACCACCCAGGCATCTCTTCAGCTTCCAGCTCCTCACCTCCCTTTTTATTTTATTTTATTTTTTTTATTATTAGTTACATTTTATTAACTCTGTATTCCAGCTGTATCTGCTCCCTCATTTCTTCACAAACCCTCCCTCCCTCCCTCATCTCCTCCCTGTCCCTTTCCAAGTCCACTGATTGGAGAGGACCTCCTCCCCTTTTATCTGATCCTGTTTTATCAGGTATCTTCAGAACTGGCTATAAAGTCCTTCTCTGTGGCCTAGCAGGACTCCTCCTCCCTTGGTGGATGGGGAGGTCAAAGAGCTTGCCATTGAGTTCCTGTCAGAAATAGTCCCTGTTCCTCTTACTATGGGAAACCAGTTGGTTACTGAGATACCACGGGCTTCATCAGCGCAGAGGTTTTAGGTTATATCCATATGTGGTCCTTGGTTGAGTGTCAGTCTCAGAAAAGACCCTGTGCCCGGATATATTTGGTCTTTGTGGAGCTCCTGTCCTTTCCCCATCATACAAACTCCCCCTTCTTTCATATATTTCCCTGCACTCTGCCAAAGGTTTGGTTATGAGTCTTAGTATCTGCTTTGATACACTGCTATCCTCACCTCCCTTTTAAATAAATGTGTAGTTAAAATATAATTATCTCACTTCCCCTTCCCTTTCCTCCTCCCATGTCTCCTTCCTCCAATCTCTACCATACACCCCCCCAAATTGATAGCCTCTTTTTCTTTTCTTACTATGGTTATGTACACAGACTCATAAACATATACATATATTCTTAAATATATAAATACATCCTGCTGAGTACATTTTTATTGCTTTTGTGAATATGGTCTCAGGGCTGAGCCGCTTTATTAAGGGCTAATTCTTTTTTTTTTTTTTTAACTTTTATTAATTACACTTTATTCAGTTTGTATCCCCCCATAAACCCCTCCTTTCTCCCTTCCCAAGCTCACCTTCCCTTCCCCTTCTTCACGCATGCCCCTCCCCAAGTCCACTGATGGGGGAGGTCCCCCTCTCCTTCCTTCTGATCTTAGTCTATCAGATCTCATCAGGAGGGGCTGCATTGTCATCTTCTGTGGCCTGGTAAGGCTGCTCCCCCCCACCTAAGGGGGAGGTGATCAAAGAGCAGGCCAATCAGTTTATGTCAGAAGAAGTCCCTCTTCCCATTATGAGAGGTTAGTCCTCTTGTAGAGGACCTAGGTTGCTTTCAATAACACCCATGTGTGGCTAACAACCATTTATATGTACCTATTGATCCTGGGGGTTATATAACTTCTAATCTCTGTGGGCACCAAGTACATACACGTACATAAATGCAGGCAAAACACCCACACAAATAAAATAAAAAGAAGTCCCATCTATTTGGTTTTTCCCAGTTATAGGATATTTTTATGAAACTCCTAATGTTTTATTTTTGTAATAACTACTATAGCCTTTTCCCCTTAATAATTGAATTACTTGATAATTTCTTTTATGCATTGGTATCTTTCATACTGTATCTCCTTCAGTTCTCGCACTCCTTAAATCCATCTCTGCCCATTATTTATACCTGTGCCTACCCATAAGAAACCCTATCTCTTCTATCATTGTAGAAAGAGCTTCTTTCCTAACTTACAAAAATCCACTGTACCCTCCCCGTCCCCAGTCATGTCTCTGACAATACAAAAATACAGCTCTCACATCAAAAGGAATGAGATTGTTTATTCTGGGGCCAAGTTTGAATTCTTACATGGTGTGTGGTTAGCAAGGAATGGCTATTTAGTAGTCCACCAATCGCCTGAGATAAATTAGGCTGTGGATCTATGATATTCCAATTTCCTCACAGTCTTTGAAGTTTTAATCAGTCACCTTTAGTAGGCACAGCTTATTTTCAGGAATTCTCATTTATATTTCTTTATGGCAGCTTTAAAAAAGTAGTTCAGATCATGTTCATACTATCTTCTAAGTATTTTATTTAGAATAAAATAAAAAGTTTTGCATCATTTTATGTAAATTGTCCTTAGTTGCTTCTCTAGCTTCATTATCTTTGCTTTTAAAAAGTCTGTGTGATTACAATTGAAACCACAAACTCTTTTTCTGTGAGCTCATACTTTAGGGAGGAGCTACATGATAAAGCTACTATTCAGTATAGTAAGTCTCATCGTAGAGATACCATGGCATATGCTGGTTTTCTTATGATAGACCCATACTGTTTAATAATTTCAGACAAGATTTACACCAAGTGTGCCCAGCTAGTTCTATCTAGTTCTTTGTATTTTGATTTTTAGTTTTGAGATATGAAAGAAAATTTAAGTAGAAGACTTGGCTTTATTGTCAGCTAATGTGTGATAGTTAGATATGATGAAATACTTTATAGTATCTCGTATATGACATTATTTCAAAGCAGTGAAGAATCACATCTGCCTAAATCTAATGGCCCTCTCCATATTGTTAGTACACCATAATAGATTCATGTAGCAAAGAATTTTTATTGGATCTCTAGGGCTTTATTATGTGCTACTTGTGTACATTCTCTGAACATTACCATTCTTTGTGTAGCTCTTCTTAGCATTATCAATTGGAAAAATTATTCCTAGATAGATTTCAAATTGCACATGCTTTGTTAAGTATTATGGATGAACTACCTATTAACGATAATATGAATTAGAACAACCTATCTTTAGTCTTTGACTGTCTCATCAATAGAGTTTTATTTTCTTTTTAAAAAAAGTCCAAACATGGGACAGGAGAGATGGCTCAGCATTTAAAAAGTATTGTTTGTCTTTCAGGGGACCTGGGCTTGGTCTCCAGTACCCACATGGTACCTCACAGCCACCTGCAACTCCAGTTCTAGGTGATCTGACACTCTCTTCTGTCCTCCATAGTTACTGTGCACACGTGCAGGCACAGCAGTGATATACTAAAAATAGAAAGGAAGGAGAAGATCTCATTGTAACAACTATGAAAGTAACCTGACATGGATGACTTTTCATATTTATGGAAATTGAGAAGGACAGTTAGAAAATATAAAATCAACCAGGCATTGTAGCACACCATGAGTTCATGAACATCCCCGAGTTCAAGGGCAGCCTGGTCTATAGACTAAGTTCTAGGATAGTCAGTGCTACACAGAGAAACCCTGTTACAAAACATCAAAAGTAAAACAAAACAAAACAAAGCAACAACAAAAAACAAAATAGAAAATCAGTAATCACTTTGTCATTGTTCAGTCACAATACTTAGTAGTAATGAGATGTAACATTTATTATTAGTCTTTTGTTTGTTCCTCAGGAAAAAGTTGTACAAATTCACCTGTAAAAGATGAACTACAACATGAAGATAACACAGCTGATGTTGTAACTTCACCATCTATGCCCAAGGAAGTCTGTGACTTACCATTTTCTAGTGACCATATAACAGATAAGGAGTCACATATAGTTAAGATTCCACAGCCTGAATCACCCAAGATGTCTTCCTCCCTGACAGAAAGTAATAGAGTACTGACAGAGGGAGAAGACAATGATGAAGAGGACAATGGAAGTAACCTTGAACATGAAGACATTCCAGAAGCTCTTAGTGAAGAAAGAAATGGGCTCAAAGTTCCTAAGGTACATGTCAGTATATATTTCTTCTCTGTTCATTGGGTTGTGGCCTGTATGGTAATAATGATACTTTGTGAATATATCTTATTAACTCCTATAATCTGACTTTAGAACAAAAATAAACATTATTTACACTTACTAGTTTTAATCATATTTCATAGTGGAATATGATTTGGGCAGGGAAATACTATTCTGGCTCACATTTTGATTCATCAATAAAAAAAAACTTGGGCACTTTATACTGTATACTTTCTTTCAGTTTAGACTTTAAGAAAACAATATCAGGAAACAGAGGACCTCTGAAAGGCTCTGCCCTGCAGACTATCAATGCAGATGCTGAGACTTATGGGCAACCTTTGGGCAGAGTGCAGAGAATCTTATGAAAGAAGTGGGAAACAGTAAGATCTGGAGTGGACAGGAACTCCACAAGGAGAGCAACAAAAACAAAAAATCTGAGTACAGAAGTCTTTCCTGAGACTGATACTCCAACCAAGGACCATGCATGGAGACAACCTAAGACCCTTGCACAGATGTAGCCCATGGCAGTTTAGTATCCAAGTGAGTTCCATAGTAATAGGAACAGGGACTGCCTCTGACATGAACTGATTGGCTTGCTCTTTAATTACCTCCCCCTGATGGGGAAGCAGCCTTACCAGGCCACAGAAGAAGACAATGCAGCCACTCCTGATGAGACCTAATTGACTAAGATCAGAGGAAAAGAAGACCTCCCATATCAGTGGACTTGGGGAGGGGCATGCATACAGAGGGTGGAGGAAAAGAAGGATTGGTACAGGAGGAGGGAGTGAACCACAGGGGGGATACAAAGTGAATAAAGTGTAATTAATAAAGAATTTTTAAAAAAAAAGATTAAAAAAACATACAAAAAAAAAAGAAAACAATATCATTTGGAGATAATGTAACTTCACTGCACTAGTACACAAATAGATAATTTATACTCATTAACTACTTTTCACAAATACTAATATTTGATAAACTTTATTTTGAAATTTTAATCATATTGATAAGATTGTTAATTCGTGATACAGTGTTCCCATCAATAGCACTATTATTCAGGCTGAAATGAATTGCCTCTTGGCCACTGCTCTCCTGATAATAGAAACTATTGAAAAATCTATTTTATGTAGTCTCCGTTTTAACATCAGACTCACATGATCAGTGTTTCTTTTGACCCTTCTTACTTAGAATATTAAAGCTATATTTCTGGTCATGTTTATTCCCATAAATAAACCTTTTGCGTCTCAGAAAAGTTAAGCTGGTTTTATGACTGTAGCTCCTTTCTGTATTTCCCATTGTTCTTGTTCAGTGTAAAAATTATATATATATTATATATATATATAAGTATATATATGTAAAGTATATATTATATACTTATATAGCGAGCAGTAGTACCTCAATCAAGAATAGGTCAGGTGAGCCCTGCTACCATTCAGAACCTCACTAGGGACTTCTGTCAGTGAGGAACTTCTTGCATTTGAGATGGCAGCTGAGCTATCTACTGACCTGACTAACCTCTTGCTTGTTCCTGGTTTACTAAACCTATTACAAGTCTTTTCGCATCCTTCAGTAACAAAGCACATTATAAAACAACAGTAATGTCAAATAGTCTATTTAATAGTCTTAAAATATATCAAAACTAATTCAATAATTTGATCAATAGACTTGGTCATTTTCTATGTCATTGTAGGTTCTGTAGAAATATAAAATAAGTATGACCTCAAAAATATTAAAAGTAAAAGATAAAGTGTCTCATAGGGGCTTCAACATCTTTTAGAATTTAATGGTTTCAAAATTACAAGAATGTTTCATTTAAAATTAATATTTTCTTTGATACACTGTTAGGTAGAGTCTTTCAGAGGCCCTCTCTGTTAGGCTCCTGTCCTGTTTCTTGTTTTCTCCTACTTGCAATGTCTATCCCATTTGTCTTTCTAAGTGAGGATTGATCATCTTACCCTGGGTCCTCATTGTTTAGCTTTAGGTGTATAGATTTTAGTACGTTAATCCTACTTTTAGGTCTAGTATCCACTTATAAGTGAGTATATACCGTGTGTGTCTTCCTGCTTCTGGGATACCTCACTCAGGATGATCTTTCCTAGATCCCACCATTTGCCTGCAAATCTCATGATTTCCTTGTTTTTAATTGCTGAGTAGTATTCCATTGTGTAAATTTAATACAATTTCTATATTCATCCCTCCATTGAGGGGCCTCTGGGTTGTATCAAAGCAGATGCTGAGACTCATAACCAAACTTTGGGCAAAGTGCAGGGAATCATGTGAAAGAAGGGGGAGTTAGTAAGACCTAGAGAGGACCAAATAAATCTGGGCACAGGGGTCTTCTATGAGACTATTCTCGAGCCAAGGACCATAAATGCATATAACCTAGAACCCCTGCTCAGACGTAGCCCATGGCAGCTAGCTCACTATCCAAGTGGGTTCCCTAATAAGGGGAACAGAGACTGTCTCTGAGATGAACTCAGTGGCTGGCTCTTTGACCTCCCCCTCGACCTCCCGAGGGAGGAGCAGCATTGCTATGCCACAGAGTTGGACATTGCAGTCAGTCTTGATGAGACCTGATAAGCTAGGTCAGATGGAAAGGTAGGAGGACCTCCCCTATCAGTGGACTTAGAGAGGAGCAGGGAGGAGATGAAGGTGGGAGGGTGGAATTGGGAGGGAATGAGGGAGGGGACTACAGCTGGGATACAAAGTAAATAAACTTTAATATAAAAAATAAAAATTAAATTAAAAAATAGTTTCCTACTGAACCCATGCTTATTACTCAATGGAAGGTAAAGTACTTTTTTTTTTTCTTGGCTTGTTTTCCTTCTTAGAGAGGGTAAAAACTATCACTTGCTAAGTATTCACATATGAAAGATACAACTTTGATACCTTGCTGGGTAGAGTCTCTCAAAGGCCCTCTGTGGTAGGCTTGTATCCTGTTCCCTGTTTTCTCCCTCTTCGGATTTCCATCCCATTTGCCTTTCTGAGTAAGGACTGATCATCTTACCCAAGATTCTCCTTCTTGCTTGGCTTCTTTAGGTGTACAGATTTTAGTATGTTTATTCTATATTATATGTCTAATATCCACTTATAAGTTGCATACCATGTGTGTCTTTCTGCCTCTGGGATACCTCACTCAGGATGATCTTTTCTAGTTCCCACAATTTGCCTGCAAAGTTGGTGATGTTCTTGTTTTCAATTGCTGAGTAGTATTCCATTGTGTAAATGTACCAGAATTTCTGTATCCGTTCCTCAGTTGAGGAACTGGGTTGTTTTCAGATTCTGGCTATTAAAAATAGTACTGCTACAAATATGGCTGAGCAAATGTCCTTGTATACCTCAGCATATTTTGGATATATGCGTAGGAGTGATATAGCTGGATGTTGAGGAAACACTATTCCTAATTGTTTGAGAAAGCACCAGGTTGATTTTCAAAGTGGTTGTACAAGTTTACATTCCCACCAGCAATGCTGAGACTCATATCCAAACTTTTGCAGAGTGCAGGGAACCCTATGAAAGAAGGGGGAAATAAAAAGAACTGGAGGGTACAGGAGCTTCACAAGGAGAGCAAGAGAACCCAAAAATCTGGGCACAGGGGTCTTTTCTCAGACTGATACTCCAACCAAGGACCATTCATGGAGATAACCTAGAACCCCTGCACAGATGTAGCCCATTGCAGCTCAGTCTCTGAGTGGGTTCCCCAGCATTGGGAACAGGGACTGTCTCTGATATGAACTTAGTGGCTGGCTCTTTGATCACCTCCCCCTGATGGGTGAGCAGCCTTAGCAGGCCACAGAGGAAGACAATGTAGCCAGTCCTGATGACACCTCATAGGCTTGGGTCAGAAAGAAGGGGAGGAGGACATCCCCTATCAGTGGGCTTGGGGAGGGGCATGGGAGGAGATTTGGAAGGGAGGGTGGGATTGGGAAGGGATGAGGGTGGGAGATACAACTCGGATACAAAGTGTATAAACTAATTTATTAAAATAAAGTAGAAAAAAGAGAAAGATTCAACTTTATGGTTATTAATCATTTTATCAGTGGACTTAAACTAGTTTTAAATGACCTTTGAAACTTTGCCATTTGTTGGTAAGCCTCTGAAACAATCTTTTGTGAAGGAGAATTAATTGATCTCTTAGAAAAATGCTGTCCTTCCTTTCTCTCCTTCTCTGCCTCTGTTACTTTCTCCTTCTCTCCCCCCTCCCTCAGCCTCTATTCCCTCTGTCTCTGCTAATACTGTACATGAAACCTAGGGCTTGGTGCATGCTAGGTTAGTATTCTACCGCTGAGCCTTTCTCTAGCTTGTATGTCCAGATTTCTTAAAGAGTAAATAAGTATAAGATTTGTTTATAAAGTGTTATTATTTTGAATTATAATTTTCCCCCTGAAACAAATCATTATTGATTTTGGACAAATGGCTCAGTGAACAGTGTGTTTACTATGTAAACATGAAGAAAAGTTAGACATGGCTGCACTAGTCTGTATCTACTGTGCTGGGAGGCAGAAACAGGAAGATCCTTGGAGCTTACTGGCCAGCCAACATAGTGAAGATGTCACCTCCCGGTTCACTGAAACCCTGTCTCAAAATGTAAAGTAGTGAGCTAATGAAGTATCTACATCTTACATCTCTCTACCTGTTCTTGCATACACACAGCCATATACTGAACACATGGAGAGAAGTAAAAATAACTCAAATTATTCATAGATATTTCTACTTTTTTATTCTATAATCAGATCATAGAAGGACAGCCAAAAACTACTAAGAGTTGGCGCCATCCCCTTGGGAAACCTCCAGCCAGATCCCCAATGACTCTTGTGAAGCAGCAGGTAGCAAGTGATGAAGGTGAGTGCATGGTAGTCTTTTGTAATAGAGGGCTTGTGCAGCTAACTATATTACATTTTTTTCTCAGTTAGGAAGTTTTACTTTGTGACAAATTCTCATTTTTTTGTGGTACAATAAACAATAAATAATTTATAGGTAAAATCAATTGAAGTTTAGAAATAATGTCTTGCTTCATATACTTTAATAATATTGCTTGTACAAATATTTTATTTCATGTCATAAATGAGTCATTGCTGACATTATCTAAAAATTTTCTAGAAAAATCACTACAAATCATGGCATATATGCATTGTCTGTACTTTTTGTTTGTTTGTTTGTTTTTCTTTTTCCAGACAGGATTTATTCATGTAGCCCTGGTTTCCTGGAACTCACTCTTTAGACCAGGCTGTCCTCACAGAGATCTGCCTGCCTCTGCCTCCCAAGTGCTGGGGTTTAAGGCATGTGGCACCACTATCCTGTATTGTCTGTTCTTTTAACCTGAGTCATTTATACTCACGTAAACATTCTCAAGTAAGAAACCAGCACGTGCATGCACACGCATGTGTGCACATATACACACACACCTACATAGCAGTGTATGTTATATCCCTATCATTGCTTGGTAGAATACTCTGATATGGCTTGATATAAACCTTCGTAAGTCACATACATAAAATTTGCTTTTGTTCCCTTTTGAGATAATCTCCTTTTCTGATGGATATTAACTATAGTCACCTGTCTTTGAAGATGTGGTCAAGGGGTTTGAAGTATCAGCATCATTTTTCCATTTACTGTCTTTTTTTTTTTTAATTTTAACTTTTATTTTATGTGCAATGGTGTTTTTCCTGCATGTATGTCTCTGAAGATATGCTGGAATCAGAGCTCAAGACAGTTGTGAGCTGCCATGTGGTTGCTGACAATTGAACTCAGGAACTCTGGAAGAGGAAATTGTGCTCTTAAATGCTCAAACATCTTTCCACTCCCATTTACTATGACACATGCTTATGTAGGAAAAAAGAATATGGTGGTAGTACTTTCTATAACATAGAGTAGCATTTTAGTTGACTAATAGAAGTAAAGAGACATTCTAGCTGTTGTTTCTCTATATTATCAGATTGTGTTCTAATTTGTTTTTTACATACAAGTTAAAAATACCACAATCTAGACAGCTAGACAGGTCCGAGACTTGATCCTTCTGCTTTAGCCTTCCAGTTGCTAGGGTGATAAACAGCATCTATACTATGTTAATTCCTCCTTTATTGCGTTTTACTTCACATAGCAAAAGCTATTAACCTATAACAGTTACTATAACTACAAGACAAATTAAAAAATTAATATGTAACATATAATACATAGGAATTTTAATTACTTTTCTTCAAGGCTTGTCATTTGAGTGGTTTCCCTGTAGGAAAAGGGTTAGACATACTTCTATGGAATGCTCTTTCCTTCATGTGCTTTTCTTCCTAGAAGCTTATTTTTATGTCAGCTACTGAGAATTTGCCCAGAATACCCCCTGGATTCCAGTGTATAGAGCTTGGAAAAATATATGTGAATTATATTAATAACATTATCTCAAGGGTTTAAATTTGAGTGTTTTTCTGAAACATTTGTAATTGCAGCTTCTGTAACTGTTGCACATATTAAGAACTTCTGGCATCTTCTGTGAATTCATGAGAATTGCATTTTAAAACTGGAAGTTTTTCTGGCTGCCTAAAGATCTTCACAAATCTAAGTGACAATGAAAAATACCCTGTAGACTCAAATAAATTATTTATATCATTGGTGTCACTCTTCTTCCTTTGAATCCAAGTTCATTGGAAATGAAGGAACATTATCATTATCTAAATGAATTGAACAAGCAGATTTTATCCTCATTCAGAGCACACAGTTTCCAGCGCAGCTGGATTTAGGGATTTTCTGCCCTACCAGTTTCTTTGGCAGTATTCATATTAGAATATACCTCTACTAGAATTCTGAGAAATTACCTCTATAAATATCAATTAGTATCCTCTGTGGGTAGATGATTTTTTTTAAGTGAGTCTGGAATCCTCTCACAGAAAACTATAGGTATGAAGAGCACCAGAGTAAGCCCTTATTGGATCTGGTGTCCAGGTGGGGCAGACACAAAGACATAGGCTTAGTCATTCTGCATATGACTCTGGTAGCTGCTAGGTCTCCCTACTTTGGAGCCACTGTTCCTACAGTAGGAATTCCTGTAGCACGTGTCACCTAGCATTAATAAAGTTAAGAACTAAATGCCTGTAAAATAATCTGAAATTGTTTGAAACTTAGCATTTCCTTGTTTCTGCTGTTAAGGGGTTTTGAGTAGCCCACCCTTTACAATTGGAAAATAAAAATTAAAAAAAAAAGTAAATAAAAGGAAGGTATATTGGAAAAACATAAAGTAAAATCAAAACTGTTCATGGACTCCAGAACAATACAAGAGAGCTTATTGACCTGTACCTTATACTTGAGTGAGGATAGAGGCAGTAGATAGAAGAATTCAGCCCATGAATGCTTAGCCTTAAGACTGAGGTCAAATTTTACCTCTTAGTCCATTCAGCAGATTTAGGAAGAATGTGCACTCTGACTGTTAATGCCTGTAATGCATTTGGCAGAAACTGGAAACTTTTAAGTCCTGAAACGGGAGTCTTTTGCTGTCAGTAGACTCTGTCTAGTCTTACTGATTTTGGAATTTTATTGCTGCTATTTTATAATTTAGGCAAATCCTCTTTTTGGTCTTATTTTCCTCTTGTATAAAATGTATTACTTAGTCATGAGTGATCACTTCGTTCTTTTTTTTAACTTTTATTAATTATACTTTATTCATTTTGTATTCCCCCATAAGCCCCTCCCTCCTCCCCTTCCGGTCCCCCCTCCCCCCCTTTCTGCATGCATGCCCCTCCCCAAGTCCACTGATAGGGGAGGTCCTCCTCTCCTTCTTTCTGATCTCAGTCTATCAGTTCTCATCAGAAGTGGCTGCATTGTCAGGGTTCTAGGTTATCTCCATGGATAGTCCTTGGTTGGAGTATGAGTCTCTGGGAAGTTCCCTGTGTTCAAATTTTCTTGTTCTGTTGCTCTCCTTGTGGAGTTCCTGTCTTCTCCAGCTCTTACTATTTCCCACTTCTTACATAAAATTCCATTCACTCTGCCCATCAGTTGGTCATCAGGCTCAGCATCTGCTTTGACAGTCTGCACTGCAGAGGCTTTCAGAGGCCCTCTGTGGCAGGTTCCTAGGTTGTTTCCTGTTTTCTTCTTCTGGCTTTCAGAGGCACTCTATAGCAGGTTCCTAGGTTGTTTCCTGTTTTCTTCTTCTTCTGATGTCCATCCTCTTTGCCTTTCAGGATGGGGATTGAACATTTTAGTTAGGGTCCTCTCTTTTGCTTAGTTTGTTTAGATGTACAGATTTTAGTGGGTTTATTCTATGTTGTATGTTTATATGAGTGAGTATATACCGTGTGTGTCTTTTTGCTTCTGGGACAACTCACTCAGGATGATCCTTTCCAGGTCCCACCATTTACCTTTAAATTTCATGATTTCCTTAATTTTCATTGCTGAGTAATACTCCATTGTATAGATGTACCACAGTTTCTGCATCCATTCTTCAGTTGAGGGGCTCAAGTACACAAAAAGGACATTTGCTCAACCATGTTTGTAGCAGCTTTATTTGTAATAGCCAGAAGCTGGAAACAGCCCAGATCACTTCGTTCTTAACCTGTGGTCACTTCATCAGTTTGAAGCATTTCAGATACCTATAGGTGGCACTATACTGTTCCTTTCCCATTAGCAGACTGATAAAATTTCATAATCTTTTAGGGACCTTGACTTTCATCAAACCAGGACTTGTTTCTTTGACAAAGAAAATTAAAAAACGAAGAAAAGCAGAGTTGGAAGTCTTACTAAAGACATAGTTAAGAGTAGTTTTTAAGCCAGCCATGGTGGCGCATGACTTTCATTCCAGCACTCAGGGAGAAAGAGGCAGGTAAATTGCTGTGAGTTTGAGCCCAGCCTGGTTTATACAAAGTAAGTCCAGGACAGCCAAGGCTACACAGAGAAACCCTATCTCAGAACACCAAAAAGAAAGATTAATTTTTATTTTTTGAAAATTTCAAAAATGTATACAATATGTCTGGATTAGTTCTACAAGCTAGGTTTGGCCACCTGTCCTCCATGAGCCTATTATAAGAGCCAAATCAATAGGAACAAGCAAAATAAATAAATAAATAAACAAACAAATAAATAAATAAATAAATAAATAAATAGATAAATAAAATAATAAAATAATAAGTAAAGGAAAAGAAAAAAAAAAGAGATTTATTCATTGGAACTACATTGGGTAATGTGGCTGAGTGACCATCTTTGCCAAGTTCTTACTGATAGTTTTGATGTGAAGTTAAAGCTTAAGTAGAGGACCAGATTTATGCAAATATAATCAGTCAACATCAAGTTATGGCACATCTTACCATCCACCCATTATTTTCTCTCCTTCATGGTAGTCTGACTGGTTGTAAACCTTTTTTTGAAGAAAAGCTTCCCTTGTGATCTTTAGGTTTTTTTTTTTTTCTTTTCTTTTTTTTTTTTTTTTTTCTAACATTGAGAGATTGCTGGGGAATTCTTGGGGCTTATTTATTTATTTTTTCAGTAATCTGATAGCCACAGTGAGGTACACAAGTGACTCTTTAGACATCTTCATCCCTACAGACTGGCTACAGTTGCAGATGTTAAAGGTTAATTTTCCTAAAATGCAATTGACACTGGACTGATTTCAATTTATATCTCTTCAGCTATACTTTTGTGAAATTCCAGAATAATTAATACAGAAAAAAAGTTACAGACACCTATCTAGATACTGTGTTTGCCAAGGTGTACAAGTGACCCTTTTGACAAGTTTAATATTGGTAAGAGTCACAGTAAAGTACTGGTTGGGTGTTGGCAGCCCTGGCAAGGTAAGGTGGGACTCTGTCCCTTTTAGTTTGTTTGTTTTGGTTTTTTTCAAGACAGGGTTTCTGTGTATAGCCTTGGCTGTTCTGGGTTTGCTTTTTAGACCAAGCTGGCCTTGAGCTCAAAGAGATTAGCCTGCCTCTTCCTCCCGGAATGCTGGGAATATAGGTGTGTACCACCTTGTCTAGTGACACTTGTCCTTTTTAAGCCAATTAAAGAAAGGTGTAATGATAAAAAGCAGGGAGGGTGAATTTATTCAATGTGAATATATTGCAAAGTGAAACAAAAAGATCCAGTGATACACCTCACTACAGGTCCATCTTCCCAGTTAAAAGTTAAAGAGCTATATGTAGCTCTGTCCTGGTCCAGATGTTGTGCTCCTCATCATCACTGTTCCTAAATCTCTCTTATTAGGTCGCCTGGCAGGTTGTCAGAACTCTGAGAAATTTGTTCTAAAAAACAAACAAATTGGACAAATTGGAATTATTTTCTGGGTATCTGTCCTCCGGGCTTGTCCCTAGGACATGGATGGGTGGTGGAGGGATAGATCTCTGGGAAAAAATTGTAAGCAAGGAAGAGAGAAATGGTAGATTATGGTTAGAGGATTGTAGACACCAAGCCATGTAACGATCATTATTTATATTAGTACCATAAAGTCTTTTCTCATCTAGATAGGTACCACCATGTTGGTGGCCCAGGTAACCATAACCATTTTTAATTGCCCAAATGTTGGGCAGACAGCTTCAGTGTGCATGGTTCTAACTATGTGACTACCTGAGTCTCCAGTGGGGACCAGGTCTTCCTGTTATTCCAGGCTTGACCTGGATCATGGTTGCTTCTTGCTAGCCTTCCAGATTAAAGATAGGCCCTTCTTAGCAGTTGTCTCCCAACTTAAAGCATGGTTTCCCTTTGCCCTACCTCAAGCACCAGTAGAGAAAGCAAGGGAGACAGAGTTGAGACATACCCTCAGCCTAAGTCACAGGAAGTCTAAAGCCATAAATGAAAGTCAAGAGAAATAATGAATGTAGTTCTCCTAGTCTATCCTTTTCACACAGCATGTCATCTGGCCCTTTTTGGGGGAGCTTTCATACCATTTTGAAGTGTTTCAGAAAGTGAAAGGTGAAGGTAAATGGTGGAGTAAATTTTACCTTTTGGGTGTCGTATCAGTTGTTTCAGCCATTGATCAGAGTTCACAGTATAACCAGAGGTTGTTGTATCTTTAGAAAAATGAATCAAACCAGGAAGAAATGAATAATGACTGAAATAGAGATACTTTATTAAAGAAAGGTATTCTAGAAAATTAGCATTGTCTAGCTATCTGGAAAAAGACGTTTCCAAAGCTGCAGGCCTTCAGTGTCATGAGTCTTTCTTTAGAGGGTATTTACATAGCACCTTTGCTTGCATTTGTATATCACGGGGCTTTTTCTCACACATGATCTGCTTTTTTACTTGTATATAGACCTCTTGGGGATGGGTTTCTGGCTTTCTGCAGTTAACTTCTATATTTCATCTTTTTTGCTCTTTCTCCAATTCTGTTTTTCTGTGACAGGTATTTTGTTTTCTACATTATGGGTGTTCTGTAAATACCATGGATTCTTGAATTCAAAAATCAGTTTAATGAAACACAATTGGAAAGCTTTTACTGATCTATGAACTATATACTGTGTTAGGTGAAAAAAATGAAAATATTAATGACAGAGTCATTAGCTAAGTCACACTTGAAATGTTAACCATGTGTGTGGTATTACATTGGAAGATAAAAAGATAAAGTGATGAAGTTTAAGGAGGGATTGTTTTAATTTTTCCCAACATATAGGAGATAGCTGACTAAGAGAAGCTGTTTTATGCCCTCATGATCTAACCTGATCTCTTCTTCCAAAACTGGAGATGAGGATGAAAAAAAGATGTTTATTCTATTTCTTTCAGAATATAGTTGGTAAAATAGGCTTAGTGTCTATTGCTTAGTGTATATTGCTATCATAGACATTTATAAATACTAACATCTGTTACCAAGATAATATTTCTTTCTGAGTTTTCTGCTCAGTGTGTTTCCTATTTTCTTCCCTAAGAATTGCCTGAGATTCTAACCACTGATGAAGAAATCGAAGAAACAGAGTCTTGGGCAAAGCCTCTCATTCATCTTTGGCAGACAAAGTCTCCTAACTTTATGGCTGAACAGGAGTATAATGCAGCTGTGGCAAAAATGGAGCCACACTGTGCAATCTGTACTCTGCTCATGCCATACTACAAGGTAATTTGGAGTATGACTATCAATGTATTCTTGCACTGCTGTACTTTCTTATGGAAATGAAGTGAAATATTTTTGTTGTTGTTGTTTGTTTGTTTCATTGTTTGTTTATATCAGTGGATTTTGGAAACCTGCATACAAACCCACTTCTTTTACTAAAAGGCATCCAACTTCTCACTTAAAGCCTGGAAACAAAATTTTTCTTAAAGAAAACATATACCTAGTATCTTTTTAAAATTAAAAGTAGTAATCTGAAGTGATATAAGTATCAGTGCCCAGTCTTGATTTTTGTCTTTTTCACCTTTCCATGTGAAACATGGAAACAACATATTCAGGATTCGTTAAAAACCGTATCTGCTCACTACCATCAGCTAACAGTGCTTAGCAGTTCTGTCATTATTCTATGCATGTCATTCTGACAGCATCTTAGCTCAGGGATGAGTGTGTTCTTCAGAGTACACACAAACAGATATTTAATGCTGTATAAAATTGCATTGCAAGCTTTAAGGTACAATCTATTAGAAAACCCACTCATATGAACATTGATTTTAAATTGTTTTCCCTAATATAACAGAAATATTTCATCAAGATCATTAATTTCTTAAATCATTTATTTATTTTTGTTTTATATAGTTATAGGCAATTGTGAGCTGCCAGTTGGGTGCTGGGAATTAAATACAGGTCCTCTCAAAGAACAGCAACTGATATTAATTACTGAGCTACTTTTCCAGCCCCTGCTCATGAGTCATGTAATAGTAATTTAGTAAGTAGTAAAGTGTCATGTAATAGTAATTTAATTCACATATTTTAGAGCTAAACAGTGGGTGAAATTCTACATTTTCAACTTTCTATTTAGTATTTTACCCACTTATTGTTTTACTTTTTTTTAGTCATTAAATACTTGTTTTTATTGATTTCTTATTTAAGCATTCTTATCTACCTGTGTGTTTTCTAAAAATAAAAATAAAAAATTCTTTTGGAAATTGATTGATTTAAGATTTAGGGAATAATAAAGGCAATTCATTAGTTGTAATTTCCCATGACGGTCAAGTCTGGCACATCATTCTTATCTGTCCACGTATGCTATTTTTGTCCCCTGCATTTCAAACTTTTGTGGAAGACATATATCTTTTAAACCTGGGCATGTGTGTGTGTGTGTGTGTGTGTGTGTGTGTGTGTGTGTGTGTGTGTATATATATATATATATATATATATATATTCTTTTGATATATGATCACATAATATTTTTAGTAAGTCCACTCAGACCTTAGTCTAGTATACAGGAATTATCAGCATATGTAAGGAAAAGAAGCTGTGCATTCCTGAAGTATTTTGGAAGACCACAGTTTAAAGAGCTCCTTGCAATCTTGTATGAACCCACAGAGCTTTTCTCATTCTTACTGACTCAACCATAAATGTGAGTCTGTATTAGAATATTAGTAAAATGCTACTAGTTGAATTAAGGAAAACAACGAGATAAAGTTGTAATTTATTGGCTATAACAGCTTAAGTGGGTTAATGAATAAAAGATGAGCTCTTTCTCATTTCTTTTACTCATGTGGATATCTTATCTTTTCAGCCTGATAGCAGTAAAGAAGAAAATGATTCTAGATGGGAGACAACAATAAATGAAGTAATTAAATCTGGAATGAAGACTAAACCCATTATTCCAGAGATGTGTTTTATTTATAGTGAAGAAAATATAGACTATTCCCCCCCAAATGCCTTCCTTGAAGAGGATGGAACAAGTCTTCTGATTTCCTGTGCCAAGTGCTTCGTGCGAGTTCATGCAAGTAAATAAATCTAAGATTTTCAGTGTTTTATATAGTCCTTACAAATCACCTCATTGTTACCTGTCAGTTCACCTCTTGATGTAATTCTTTGTGCCAAGATCTTGTAGCCTAAGCCATTCAGGAGCTTGCTTTGTAAGCCAGTCAGCCAGCCATGTGCTTAAAAATCTTTGGTCCTTTTGTTTCCACTTCTGAGGTGCTTCAGTTGTAAATGTATGCCTCCATGCTTGAATTTCTGTGATAGTGAGATTGAGCCCAGGAATTTGTGCATAGTAAGCACAGAGTCAGTCAGTAAAGCTCCATCTTATTGTGGATATTCTTAATGGTGTCATTTAAGATAATGAATAGAATATCATCCCTTTCTCTCTAGTTTTATGAAGCACTAGTGAAGAGACATTCTAGGTATTTTATTTATTAGGAGTCCAGGTGACATATCATTATGGGCTTCTTCACTTGTTTGAGTTTTATATTCTAATGATACTAGATTGTGAAAATTTAAATGACTGGTGTTGATTGAAGACTATTTTTGTGACTTTTTAAAGAAGTAGATATTATTCTGAAGAGCTGAGAGTTACAGTATTGAATTAAGTACTTTTCTTCATAAAGATAGAAAAGTCCCTACTAATATTCATTACAGTAGTTGGGTTCTAAGGGGTTTCTAATTTGTTATTTTTATACAGGTAGATAAGTATTAAATATATTTGTAAAAACTGACATATGACATAAGTTACCTAGATATATAACTAGGTAACTTATATATATATAAGTTATAATATATAATGGAATCTATTATATCTTACAACTCAAATTCTAAAATATTTCTTCATTCCTGATTTTTTCTAATTACATTTATCTGTGTTGAAGGCATTGGTTTTTTGTTTGTTTGTTTGTTTGTTTTTAATCTTACCCTTTATTGGTAGGGACCAACCAAGGGCCTCGTGCATGCTTAAATGTGTTTGTGTCATGGAACCGTATCCCAAGTCCTCAATCACATATTCTTTTTTATTTAGACTTTATTTTTTATATTTTTTTTTTATGTGTATGAATATTTGCCTTTAGGTATAAATGTGTTCCACATGAGTAGTGCCTGGGAAAGTCAGAAAGTTCTCTGGATCTGTAGTTACAGCTGATTATAAATTACAATATGGATACATGATACCAAGATTGTGGAAATATATGTTTTTTACTAGCACCAAATAAATGAGCAAGCAAGTAAATCAGTAAATTAAGAAACTAACATGTATAATGCCCATATTTGAGATACTGAGACAATATTGTATTCAAAGTCTACCTGGCCTACAGAGAAAATTCCTTAGAGAATAGGACAGGAGGACTCAAACCTGAATCCTCTGCCAGAACAAGTTTTCTTAACTACTGAACCATCCCTTCAACCCCTTCAATCACTTATATTATTACCATATTTCTGTGCCGTTAGTCTACCATAGGTTCAATGGATGTTAATGCAGTTATCATCTAAATTTAGCACAAATCGTATACTGCAATTGAACTAGCCCCCCTTTTACTTACAAATTACTTAGATATAGTATACATTCTCAATTTATTTGTCAATTATCTGTTTGAAGTATAGTATATATAACTTTTGTATGCTGATACTAGTTTGGAAGACATAACACACACACATAAACACATAATCATATATATACATGTATGTATGCATGTACATATATGTGTTTACATGATCTTACTATGTATAGTCAAGAGACAAAGCAACAGGAAACAATAAATATGTAGTCAGTCTTGTTTTCTGAAGTCACCAGCTATATAATCTAGCCTGCTAATCCCATGAACATGACCGAATTTAGCATTGGTTTGACTTGGTTAGGTAACCAAGTGGTATGATTTTCTTTGATTAATTGCATTTCTGTTACTGTCTCTATTACCATATTTTCTATAAAAATTATTGACATATTTCTTTCAAACTCTTCTTTTTCAGGAATTAAGGATAATGTACCACTCCCCTGACTCCCCATATGCTTGCTCTTCCACTTCCTCACCTCTTTCCTTTCCCATCCAGCTTTCCTATTCTCTAAGGAATTTTCTCTGTAGGCTAGAAAGACCTTGAACATACGATATTATGCATGTTTATATAGTATAACATGTTATATAAAAATGCAAATAAGCAAAACCCAATGTTTTTTTTTTTTTTTTTCATGTAGCTTACTTACATTTTTGTTATGTTAGGCTTGGTATTTCTTTTGGTTTTTTTTCCTTTTTTAATTTTTTAATTTTAATAATTTATTTTATTTTCATTTTGTTGGTGTTTTTACATTTCAGTTTAGTTACTTTACATCTCAAGGGTGTTCCCTCCCTCCTCTCCTCCTAGTTCCCCCTTTCTTTACTTTCTCCATCCCCTCCCCATTTCCCACCAGAAAAAGGGGATCTTCCCCATATCAACTCTCCCAGTACATCAAGACTGAGAATATCCTCATCCCCTGAGGCCAGGCAAGGCAGTCTGCCAGGGGGAAGTGATCCAAAATAGGCAATAGAGAGAGAGGAGGAGTGCTTGATTTTGATTTACAGTCAATCAAATAGTTGTGTTGTAGTTTTGCTGTTTTCATGATGAACCCAGAGATATATTTTTTTTATTATTCTCATTAGTTACATTTTGTTAATTCTATATCCCAGCTGTATCCCTCATTCCCTCCCCATTCCCACCCTCCCTCCCTCATCTCCTCCTTGCCCCTTTCCAAGTCCACTGATAGGGGAGGACCTCCCTTTCATATGACTCCATTTTGTCAGGTATTTTCAGGACTGGCTGCAAAGTCCTACTCTGTGGCCTAACAGTACTGTTCCTCCCTTGGGAGGTGGGGAGGTCAAAGAGCCAGTCATTGATTTCCTGTTAGAAATAGTTTTTGTTCCCCTTACTATGGGAAACCAATTGATTACTGAGCTATCATGGGTCACATCCGAGCAGAGGTTCTAGGTTTTCTCCTCTCATGGTCTTTGGTTGAGTGTCCATCTCAGAAAAGACCCTGTGCCCAGATATGTTTGGTCCTTGTGGAGCTCCTATCCTTTCCACATCAAACTCCCCTTCTTTCATATGATTCCCTGCACTCTGCCGAGGGTTTGGTTATGAGTCTTTGTATCTACTTTGGAACACTGCTAGGTAGAGTGTTTCAGATGCTTTCTGCGGTAGACTCCTGTCATACGTTCAATGCATATCCCATTTGTCTTTCTAAATGAGGATTTATCATCATACCCCGTGTCCGCTTTCTTGATTACCTTCTTTAGGTGTATAGATTTCATTATGTTTATCATATCTTTTAGGTCTATATAAGCGAGTATATTCCATGTTTGTCTTTCTCCTTCTGGGATACTTCACTCAGAATGATCTTATCTAGATCCTACCATTTGCCTGCAAATTTCATGATTTCCTCTTTTTTGATTGCTGAATAGTATTCCATTGTGTAAAAATACTACAATTTCTGTACCCATTCCTCCGTTGATGGACATCTGGGTTGTTTCCAGGTTCTGGCTATTACAAATAAAGCTGCTACAAACATGGTTGAGCAAATGTCCTTATTGCGTACTTGAGCAAATTTTGGGTATATGCCTAGCAGTGGTATAGCTGGGTCTTGAGGAAGCACTATTCCTAATTGTCTGAGAAAGCGCCAGATTGACTTCCAAAGTGGTTGTACTAGTTTACATTCCCACCAGCAGTGGAGGAGGGTTCCCCTTTCTCCACAACCTCTCCAGCATGTGTTGTCACTTGAGTTTTTCATCTTGGCCATTCTGATGGGTGTAAGGTGAAATCTCAGGGTCGTTTTGATTTGCATTTCCCTAATGGCAAATGACCTTGAGCATTTCTTTAAGTGTTTCTCTGCCATTCTATATTCCTCTACAGAGAATTCTCTGTTTAGCTGTGTTCCCCATTTTTTAATTGGATTACTTGGATTGTTGCTTTTCTGCTTCCTTAGTTCTTTATATATACTGGATATTAGCCCTCTGTCAGATAAAGTGTTGGTGAAGATTCTTTCACAATCTGTAGGCAGTCGTTTTGTTTTGATGATGGTGTCCTTTGCTTTACAGAAGCTTTTCAGTTTCATGAGGTCCCATTTATTGATTGTTGCTCTTAAAGCCTGTGCTATTGGTGTTCTGTTCAGGAAGTTGTCTCCTGTGCCAATGAGTTCTAGGCTGTTCCCCACTTTTTCTTCTAACAGATTTAGCTTATCTGGTTTTATGTTGAGGTCTTTGATCCACTTAGACTTTAGTTTTGTGCAGGGTGATAAATGTGGATCTATTTTCATTTTTCTGCATGTAGCCATCTAATTAGACCAGCACCATCTGTTGAAGGTGCTATCTTTTAATCCATTGAATGGTTTTGGCTGCTTTGTCAAAAATCGAGTATTCATAGGTACATGGGTTTATTTCTGGGTCTTCTATTCGGTTCCATTGATCTTCCTTTCTATTTCTATGCCAATACCATGCAGATTTTATTACTATTGCTTTGTAGTACAGCTTGAGATCAGGGATGGAGATACCACCAGATGATCTGTTGTTGTACAGGGTTGTTTTGGAGATTCTGGGTTTTTTGTTTCTCCATATGAAGCTGAGAATCTTTTTTTCAAGGTCTGAAAAGAATTGAGTTGGTATTTTGATGGGAATTGCATTGAATCTGTAGATTGCTTTTGGCAGGATGGCCATTTTCACAATGTTAATCCTACCAATCCATGAGCACGGGAGATCTTTCCATCTTCTGAGATCTTCTTCAATTTCTTTCTTCAGAGACTTGAAGTTTTTCTCAAACAGGTCTTTCACTTGTTTGGTTAATGTCACCCCAAGGTACTTTATGTTATTAGTGGCTATTGTGAAGGGTGTTGTTTTCCTAATTTCTTTCTCAGCCCTTTTGTCTTTTGTGTAAAGGAGGGCTTCTGATTTTTTGAGTTGGTTTTGTATCCTGCCACTTTGCTGAAGGTTTTTATCAGCTGAAGGAGTTCTCTGGTTGAATTTTTGGGGGTCACTCATGTATACTATCATATCATCTGCAAATAGTGACACTTTGACCTCTTCCTTTCCAATTTGTATCTCCTTGATCTCCTTTAGTTGTCTTATTGCTTTGGCTAGGACTTCAAGTACTATGTTGAAGAGATATGGAGAGAGTGGGCAGCCTTGTCTTGTCCCTGATTTCAGTGGGATTGATTTAAGTTTCTCTCCATTGAGTTTGATGTTGGCTGTTGGCTTGCTGTATATTGCCTTTACTATGTTTAAGTATGTGCCTTGTATCCCTGATCTCTCCAAGACTTTAAACATGAATGGGTGTTGGACTTTGTCAAATGCTTTTTCAGCGTCCAAGGAGATGATCATGTGGTTTTTCTCCTTCAGTTTGTTTATGTGGTGGATTACATTGATGGATTTCCATATGTTGAACTACCCTTGCCTGCCTAGGATGAAGCCTACTTGGTCATGGTGGATGATATCTTTCATGTGTTCTTGGATTCGGTTTGCAAGTATTTTATTGAGTATTTTTGCATTAATATTCATAAGAGAGATAGGTCTGAAGTTCTCTTTTTTTGTTGGGTCTTTGTGTGGTTTGGGTATCAGGGTGACTGTCACTTTATAGAATGAGTTTGGGCTTTTTTTTTGAGGGGAGACTGTTAATGACTGCTTCAATTTCCCTGGGAGATATAGGTGGTGGTGGTAGTGGAGGGGGGGGGGTGTTCCGCGGGTCAAGAGCTCGGTGAGAGGGCCCTAGGTGGGGTGTGTTCTCCTCTTGAGTGGTGGTGTTCAGCAGGTCATTACTGCTCTCAGCTGAGGCTGCGGGGTCTGGAGCCCTGCCTCCCTGCCTCCGCCTTTCTTGGGTCCCAGACACTGAGCTTTGCAGCTTTGATATCCAGGAAGAATTGTATTGTGGATCTCAGTCTCTGTGGTTAGTGCTCAGTCGTTGGAACTCTGTGATTGGGCCTGCGCTCCTCCTGTAAGGCAGTTTCTGGGGTTATTGCGCTCTGGTCATTTGGAATGTGAGCTCCACTGCACTTCCTGCTGCGGTCTAGCTCGGGCTTGCGATGGTAGGATGGGGGAGGGGACACTCCGCGGGGTGTCCGGAGGGCCCTGAGTGGGACGTGTGTCCAAGGAGAGGATGGGTGTTCAACGGGTGGTTACAGCAGACCGCAGCGCAGCTGTAAGGGGCCCGGAGGACTGTCTCTGCTGCCTTGATCTCCTGGATGTGAGCTTTGCGCTCAGCTGCCTGGTGCTGTGTGCAGGTTTCCCCACAGGAGGCCTGGACAAGGGAAGCGGCCTATTTCCTTCCCGGAGAAGTCCAAGCCCGATCTAAATTTATAAGCACTCCACATTTCTGTGGTGTCCCCTCTCCTTTAGAAAGCCCAAAAGTCCAAATTCTAGCTTCGATTGACTCTCCACTCACCAATCCGGAGATTCATGTCTTCTGCCTCTCCAAAATGGTGCGCTCTGCTCGCCGCCATCTTGGAGTCCTTGGTATTTCTTTTTGTTGTTGTTGTTATTGCTGTTGAAATATGCCTTTTTTCCCTTACCGGACTTTTTATCTAATTCTTTTGGATATATAGTATAACATGTTAGTTTCCTAATTTATTAATTTATTTGTTCATATTTTTTTGCTAATATAAAACATATATTACTACGATGTTGGTATCATGCAATTACTCTGCATGTTTTCACCACCTGTTGTCACACTTAGTCTAAAAATTGATCTATTAAACATGGAATTGAAAGCAAACTTTCATTACTAGTGTTGGACTGTATATCCTTTTCCCCAATCACTGAGATTTATGTCAAACTTTATTTCCATTCCCCCCAAAATGCTTCAAGAGTTGCAACTTATTTTAAAATTTTTATGCATGACTGCCAGTATTACCATGACACCTAAATTTTATTTTTATCCATACAAGGATTATCTCTATTATAATATGTATCCTCTCAGCCTTGGTGTTGGTGAACCTCTTGAACTAGTTCTCAGGAAGCTATGGCAAAAGTATCAAAAGCTTCATTCAACCTGGAATATGCAGGGAAAACCCATCTTGAAGATTCAAAACAATAGACTTTTTAGATAACTCAGACGGTAAAAGCATTTGCTTTGTAAGCCTGACTTCCTGAGTTTCATTGTCATAACCTGTGATGGAATGAAATTATTGACCCCAGTACCTTGTTCTCTGACCTCCATACCCATTCTGTAGTATATAGGAGTCCAAACTTTCACACTGACACACATCATACACAAAACTAATAATAATAAATAAATTAAAGATTAAGAAAAATCCCAAATAGACAAAAAAGACATTCTTATGTGTTGTGAGTTGGTAGCATAAAAATCAGAAGACAAGCTTTCATCCTAGCACTTGGGAGGAAGAGGCAGGAAGATCTCTGAGTTTGAAGACAGCCTGGAATATACAGTGTGTTTCAGGACAGCCAGGGCTACACAGAGAAAGCCTGTTTCAAACAAAAATAAATGAGCAAGCAAGCAAACAAAAAAACCGTAAAAATGCAAATAAACAAAATCCATTTTTTTTTTTTATGTAGCTTACTTACATTTTGTTGTTAGACATTGGGCTTTATATTTGTTGTAGTTTTTAGTTTTTATTGCTGTTGAAATACTCCTTTTTTTCCCATACTGGACTTTTTACTTAATTCTTTTGGGTAGGTCAGTCTAACATTGAGCTGCAACCCAACCCTCTTTGTATATTTTACTTTGGAACAATCTCACATAATGACACAGACTACAGTTTTGTATTCACTGTATAGTCCATGCAGGACTTGAATATGTGATCACCATGACTCAGCTTCCTAGCAGCTAGGATAAGAGGCCTGTTCTTCCAGGCTTGTTGACATTTTAAAGATTCAAGAAACTTACTGTATACCTCTATACTATTATTTTGTAGGTTGTTATGGGGTCCCTTCTCATGAGGTCTGTGATGGATGGCTATGTGCCCGCTGCAAAAGAAATGCATGGACCGCAGTAAGTAGATTTTTAGTGGTATGTTATTCTTCTTCTTTTTGTACCTACCGTTAACATAGCTAAATCTAATGGAAAGATAAAATTGTCTACATGTTCTTTTTAAAATTTTTTTTCTTTGTTGTTATTATTATTACAACTTATTCATTTTGTATCCCAGCTGTAGCCCTCTCCCTCATCTCTTTTCTGCACTCCCTACCCCTATAGGAGAGGTCCTCTTCCCCTACTATCTGACCTTAGTCTATCAGGTCTTATCAAGACTGTCTGGATCCTCTTTCTCTGAAGCCTAGTAAGGCCATCTCATCAGGGGTAGGTGGTCAAAGAGCAGGCAACCAAGTTCATACCCATGACTGCCCCTGTGCCTCTTATTAGGAAATCCCCCATGGAGACTGATCTGCCCATGGGCTACATCTGAGTGGGGTGTTTAGGTCCTCTCCATTCATGTTCCTTGGTTGATTCAGCAGTCTCTGCAGGTTCCCCTGGTCTCAGAATTTTGGCTCTATGGGACTTCTTGTGAAGCTGCTGTCCTCCATGTCTTTTTATCTCCTTTTTCTTATATAAGATTCCCCTCACTCTGCCCAAAGTTTGGCTAAGAGTCTCAACATCTGCTTCTATACCCCGTTGGGTAGAGTCTTTCAGTGGCCCACTATGGAAGGCTGCTGTCTGGTTCCCTGTTTCCTCCTATTTATGATGTGATTTTGTTTGTGCTTCTGAATGAGGATTAAGCCTCTTCCCTAGGGTCCTTCTAATTATTTAGCTTCTTTAGGACAATAGATTTTAGTATGTTTATCCTATATTATATGTCTAAAGTCTACTTAAAGGTGAATACATACCATGTGTCTTTCTGCTTCTGGGTTAACTCACTCCCGATGATCTTTTCTAGTTCCATCCATTTGCCTGTAAATTTCATGATTTCCTTGTTTTTAATAGCTGAGTACTATTCCATTGTGTAAATGTACTACAATTTCTGTATCCATTCTTCGGTTGAGGGACATCTAGGTTGTTTCCAGATTCTGGCCATTATGAATAAAGCTGGTATAAACATAGTTGAGCAAATGTCTTTGTTATATGGGTTGAACATTTTTTTTATATATGCCTAGGAGTGGTATAACTGGATCTTGAGGTAACACTATACCTACTTTTCTGAGATTGCATATATGCCTGGAAGTAGTATAGCTGGATCTTGAGGTAGCACTATACCTAATTTTCTGAGAAAGTGACAGATTGATTTCCCAAGTGGTTGTACAAGTTTATATTCCCATCAGCAATGGAGGAGAGTTCCCCTTTCTCCATGACCTGTCCAGCATATGTTGTCCCTTGAGTTCTTGATCTTAGCCATTCTGATGGGTGTAAAGTGGAGTCTCAGGGTCATTTTGATTTTCATTTCCCAGATGACTAAGGACTTTTAGCATTTCTTTTTTTTTTAATTTATTTATTTTTTTATATTAATCCCAGGTTATTTACTTTGTATCCCAGCTGTAGCCCCTCCCTCCTTCCCTTCTAATCCCACCCTTCCTTCCTTATCTTCTCCCTGCCCCTTTCCAAGTCCGCTAATAGGGGAAGACCTCCTCCCCTTTCATCTGACCCTAGCTTATCAAGTCTCTTCAGGCCTGGCTGCAATGTCTTCTATAGCCTAGCAAGCCTGCTCCTCCCTTGGGGGTCAAAGAGCTCGTTGTTGAGTTCATGTCAGGAATAGTCCCCGTTCCCCTTATTAGACAACACATTTGGACACTGGGCTACCATGGGCTATATCCGAGCAGGGGTTCTAGATTATATCCGTACATGGTCCTTGGTTGGAGAAACAGTCTCATGAAAGACCCCTGTGCCCAGATATATTTGGTCCTTGTGACACTCCTGTACTCTCCAGGTCTTACTAACTCCCTTTTCTTTCATTTGATTCCCTGAACTCTGTCGAAGGTTTGGTTATGAGTCTTAATATCTGCTTTGATAGAGTCTTTCAGATGCCCTGTGTTGTAGGCTCCTGTCCTATTACTTGTTTTCTCCTACATCCAATGCCCATCCCATTTGTCTTCCTAAGAGAGGATTGGTCATCTTACCCCAAGTCCTCTTTCTTGTTTATCTTCTTTAGGTGTATAGATTTTAGTATATTTATCCTGTCTTATAGGTCTATATAAGTGAGTATATACCATGTGTGTCTTTCTGCTTTAGGGATACCTCACTCTGGATGATAGTGTTTAGGTCCTACCACTTGCCTGCAAATTTCATGATTTCTTCATTTTTAATTGCTGAGTAGTATTTCATTGTGTAAAACTACCATAATTTCTATATCCATTCCTCAACTGAGGGATATCTGGGTTGTTTCCAGGTTCTGGCTATTACGAATAAAGCTGACTTTATAAACATGGTTGAGCAAATGTCCTTGTTGTGTACTTGAGTATCTTTTGGATATATGGCTAGGAGTGGTATAGCTGGATCTTGAGGAATCACTATTCCTATTTGTCTGAGAAAGCGCCAGATTGATTTCCAAAGTGGTTGTACAAGTTTATATTCCCACCAGCAATGGAGGAGGGTTCCCCTTTCTCCACATCCTCTCCTGTATGTGTTGTCACTTCAGATTTTGATCTTAGCCCTTCTAATGTGTATAAGGTGAAATCTCAGGGTTGTTTTGATTTGCATCTCCCTGGCTAAGTATGTTGAGCATTTCTTTAAGTGTTTCTCTGCCATTCTACAATCCTCGACAGAGAGTTCTGTTTAACTCCGTGCCCCATTTTTTAATTGGATTACTTGATTTGTTGCATTTTAACTTCTTGAGTTCTTTGTATATACTGGATATTAGTCCTCTGTCAGATGTAGGGTTGGTGAAGATCCTTTCCCAGTCTGTAGGCTGTTGCTTTGTTCTGACGACAGTGTCTTTTGCTTTACAGAAGCTTTTCAGTTTCATGAGTTCCCATTTTTTGATTGTTGCTCTTAGAGCCTGTGCTGTTGTTGTTCTGTTCAGGAAGTTGTCTGCTGTGCCAATGAGTCTAGGCTGTTCCCCACTTTTTCTTCTAACCGATTTAGAGTAGAAAGATTCTCAACTTCATATGGAGAAACAAAAAACCCAGAATCCCATAACGATCCTGTACAACAACAGATCATCTGGAGGTATCTCCATCCCTGATCTCAAGCTGTACTACAGAGCAATAGTAATAAAAACTGCATGGTATTGTCATAGAAACAGAAAGGAGGATCAATGAAACTGAATACAAGACCCAGAAATAAACCCACACACCTATGAACACTTGATTTTTGACAAAGAAGCCAAAACCATTCAATGGACAAAAAACAGCATCTTCAACAAATGGTGCTGGTCCAACTGGATGTCTACATGCAGAAAAATGAAAATAGATCCATATTCATCACTCTGCACAAAACTAAAGTCCAAGTGGATCAAAGATCTCAACGTTTAGCTTTTCTCTGCCATTTGATATTCCTCTGTTGAGAATTCTCTGTTTAGTTCTGTATAGCTTAATTTTAAAAATCTATTTTTTAATTAGATTACTTCGTTGGTTTTTAACTTCTTGAGTTCTTTATATATTCTAGATATTAGTCCTCTATCAGATACAGGGTTGGTGAAGACTTTTCCCCAGTCTGTAGGCTGTCATTTTGTTCTTTTGACACTGTCCTTTGCTTTACAGGAGCTTTTCAGTTTTGTAAGATCCCATTTATTGATTGTTGATCTTAGAACCTGTGTTGTTGGTGTTCTGTCCAGAAAGTTGTCTCCTGTGCCAATGAGTTCTAGGCTCTTACCCACTTTTTCTACTAACAGATTTAGTGTACCTGGTTTTATGTTGAGGTCTTTGATCCACCTGGACTTTAGTTTTGTGGATGTTGATAAATATGGATCTATTTGCATTTTTCTACATGTAAACATCTAGTTAGACCAGCACCATTTGTTGAAGATGCTGGCTTTTTTCTATTGTATGGTTTTGGCTTCTTTGTAAAAAATCAAGTATCCATAGGTGTATGAGTTTATTTCTTGATCTTCAATTTGATACCACTGATCTACCAGTCTCGTTTTATACCAGTACCATGCAATTTTTATTACTGTTGCTCTTTAGTACAGCTTGAGATCAGGGATGGATATAACTCCAGAAGATCTTTTATTGTACAGGATTATTTTAGCTATTCTGTTTTTTTGTTTTGTTTTGTTTTGTTTTGTTTTGTTTTTCCTTATTAAATTGAGAATTGTTCTTTCAAGTTCTTTAAAGAATTGTGTTAGTCAGAGAAGTACATTGCAGCCATTCCTGATGAGACCTGATAAACTAGGGTCAGATGGAAGGGGAGGAGGACCTCCCCTGTCAGTGGACTTAAAGAGGGCCAGCGAGTAGATATGGGAGAGTGCGATTAGGAGGGATGAGGGAGGGTGCCACAGGTAGGATACAAAATAAATAAACTGTGATTAATATAAAAAAATGAAAATTAAAAAAATTACAAAGGAAAAAAAATTGTGTTGGTATGATGGGAATTGCATTGAATCTGTAGGTTACTTTTGGCAGGATGGCCATTTTCACTATGTTAATCCTACTAATCCATGAGCATGGGAGATCTTTCCATCTTCTGATATCTTCTTCAATTTCTCTCTTCATAGACTTGAAGTTTTTTTCAAACAGGTCTTTGACTTTCTTGGTTAGAGTCACATCAAGGTACTTTATGTTATTTGTGGCTGTTCTTTTTTTTTCAGCTTTAATTTCTTTTTATTTTTTTTTCCAGTTTTTTTTTTTTCTTATCAGTTACATTTTATTAGCTCTGTGTCCCAGCCGTGTCCCGATCCCTCATTCCCTCCCAGTCCCTCTCTCCCTCCCTCCTCTCCACCGTGCCCGTTGCCAAGTCCACTGATAGGGGGGACCTCCTCCCCATTCATCTGATCCTGTTTTATCAGGTATCCTCAGGACTGGCTGCAAAGCTCTCCTCTGTGGCCTAACAGGACTGCTCCTCCCTTGGGGGGTGGGGAGGCCAAAGAGCCAGCCATTGAGTTCCTGTTAGAAATAGTCCTTGTTCCC